CATTATATGCGTTCAAGAAGTGACCTTTCTCAGTTGCAAAGCATTAGTGATCTTGCTAAGAAAGTGGTGGGAAAAGGGTTGCAGAGTATTTCAATATGTGCATTTACTTATTGAATTGACTTCGGTTTTATCGGTTGCAACTGCTTTAGTAGATAGAGCATTTTTCGCCATGAATATCATTAAGAGTCCACTTTGCAACAGAATGGGGGATCAATGGTTAAATGATAGTTTAGTTGTTTACATTGAGAAAGATGTTTTTTCTTGTATTGACAATGAAACTATCATGACACGTTTTTAAAGTATGAAATCCCGTCGTGGACAAATTTAGTATTTCTAGCTTGTTTAGCACAAAGATTATGAATGAAAAGTTATAGTTTGCCATTTATTTGTTCAAAGCTTTTTTTTTTTGGAATTTTTATATTAGGATCACCCTATGTTAAAATCCTGGATTCGCCACTGCATGAGACAAATACTAAAAATCGGAAAAATTTGGTAGAAAAGCATATAAACAATACCATATACAAGTACCAACACACAATAGCCGAATCTTTTTGATCAGATATGGCTAGGGTTTATTAGGTGTGTGATGCACGTACTTTTGAAAATTATGAACGAAAGTTTTAGTTGATAAATAAACCTAAGTTTAACTACTAAACTTGAATTTGACAAAAAAATAAAAATAAATGAGAAATGGAATATTAAGACATTAGTTTTTACTATTTTTATTACTTGTAAGGTGGTTCGGTATGAGATCCCATACCGAAACCCTTGTCCCGATTCCCAAACCAAAATTTTCGGGAATCCCAATTTCAATATCGATCCCAAACCAAATTTTTGAGAATCCCAATTTTCGGGAATCCCGAAATAGTTTTGGGATTTCGGGACAAATCGGGAATTCCGAAATGGTTTTGGGCTTTTGAACTAAAATTTAACATATTATGCTTTTGGGCTAAAATTCAACTTTTTAACATGTTATGCTTTTGGGCTGCCAGTCTGCCAGTGCCAATCTGTTTGAACATATAACTTGCACCCAGAAGCCAGTCCCCTAAATAGACTGCTTTACATATCAAAACAAAGCCATTGGCCCATTCCTCTACAACGTGGAGAAAAAGTGGCAATTACATAGGGGACCAAAATATAATAAAGCTAAAGGGTCTTTGTGCCTTTTGATTCAAATAGGGTCAAAACAAACATAATATTCTCTGCTACAACAGGTCTAATCTAACACACTCCCTCGCTAGTTTGTTCTTTTTACTATTAAATCATTTGTACTGCAATATGTGCAACTATTGAAGCCTTTATTTTCTATAAATTGCAGTATTAAATCATTCGTACTGCAATATGTGCAACTATTGAACCCTTTATTTTCTATTGAAGCCTTTATTTTCTATGGACTCCCCTTTATTTTCAACAAAATCCAATGGCCAATTAAAATTCTAAATATATATTTAAAAATTAAATAATATATATATATATTTTTCGGTTTGGTTTGGGATTATCGAAATCCCAAAAACTTGAGACTGATTCCCGTACTGAAATTTCGGGATCGGTTCGGTATTGGGTACCGAAATTTTCGGGAATTTCGGTTTGGTTTCGGGAATTTTTCGGTTCGGTTTGGTATTTTTGGGATTTTTTTCCAACTTGTAACCTCTAGATAGAAATTAGAGGTTAATTGAAGCACTCTTGCTACTTAACACTACGGTTTAATGATATTCTTCTTCATTTGTAAGTAAGATGTATTAGGTACGTTTCTCGTCAAAGATGAATTTGAACCACATTATTACTAGTCTATTATGAAGCTGAGTCCACCACCCTCTTCTCCTTTAGTGTAGATAATATTATTTCAAAAAACAAAATAAAAATAGAAGCACTCTTGATGGCCAAATATGCATGTGTGTCCTGTGAGTGTTTTAGGTCCATTTATATATGGGACCATTAAATGGTATATATGGCCGTTACTCTAATGACCTGAGCCCTGAGGTTTAGTTAATGTGCACTCGTAGCTCTATATAAGGTGGTGGATAAGATGTTTGGTGGTGGATATGATGTTTAGTCTGCATAAATTACCTCATTTTCTAATGGGAGATCGGAAATCTTCAGATTTCTATATGCTTCTTGGACTTAAAAAATTGAATGATCAATAGAGATGAATAAATATTGTAAGAAGAAAGATTAATAAAACCACTCAAATTTAGGATACGTACTTCTAAAATACGGATACATTGTTATCGTAACGTATCATACTAATAGACTAATAGTGTAACGATATGTATAGGTTTTTTTTTTTCCACATAAGAACTACATAATATTAGTGTACATGTACCATATAAGACTATAAGTTGCTCTTCTTTATTAACTGTTCCAAGTTTTCAAGACTTTGTTTCGGTGATGCTATGGACAACCAATTTAGAGTGTCCTTGAATAGAATCATCCTTGTTGTGCAACTGAAATTAATTATGCCCATCATAACCTAATTTTCTAATTTAGTGAAATAACAAATATCCCTAATCTGTTGTCTGTTGATTACTAATAACAGCTTCAAATCTCCCGCACTGATTAATTTTTATTTCAACGATAACTTTACACTGAAGAGGTGGAAGATTTAGACTAAATCATATAATGAGTATACCACAATAATAATGATATCAACTTGTTATCCACGAGATTCAATTTTTTTTTCTTCTTTTAACTAATTGTCTTAAAAACATGTAAACATTGTAGCTCTAGCCTAATCCTATATTTACACTAAATGATGGATAAAATAAATTGGTTTCGAACTCACTATGTACACAATTCTAACATGAAACGTCTCACTTGTAAATAAAAAAACTTTTTAGCCAAGATAGTCCATTTGAGATTTGAAATCAATAGAAGACGTCATTGTGTTAGTCCACCATAAATCATTTTGATCATGTAGTGAAAAATTCTATTAAATAAGGACCAAAAGTAACAAAAATACCTTCAATTTAATAAACATTAGCCAAAATGATTTGACAATAATTGATGGTATTTTTATCATTTAATGGAGATTTTTCATTGAATAACCAAAATAATTGATTGTGAACAAACACATGGATTATTTTTATCTATTTTAAATCTCCAAAAATCAAAATAAAGAGATATATCAATGGTATTAGCTAAAAACCTAAGATACCAACATGGTAGAGCTTTAGCGCTTGGTAGCCCATAAAATTTAAACTTAATTGAATACCAGAATGACCAGCTGTGCACAACCAGTTGCAATCCTCTCCTCTCTGCTTGTTCTTCTTTTTGTTTTATTTCATTGGGGTCCTCGGGATCATGATCCATGAACTTTCTCTATGTTGGCTTAGAAATTTTTTTCGTTGTGATCAGAATACAAATAATACATCATGTATTATTATATAAGAGATGAAAAATTTTATTTTTTAAGTTATTAATTTTTTAATACACATATCATACTATTTGTATATAGTAACATATGAGGTACTATTCCGTATTTCGATCACACTAAAATATCTCTTGGTAGCTTGAATTCAGAGTCATCATATACGTTGTTTTATGCAACTTAGTGACATGAATGCGTATAATTAAATATATATACAAGTATCATTTTATTTCAAGACACTTGTCTCTATAATATCCACGTAAATGTGGAAATGTAACAAATAAGAGGACCCTTATTTTGTCTCTTGAAGAATTAAGGACCATGAATATTTATTCCACTTTAATTGCGAAATGAACTTTATCAATCAAATTATTGAACAGGAGGAGTAGTAGTTTTCCAGCAACACATGGACAAATGGAATATGATAGTTGATATGAAAAAGAGAGCTTGTTGGCACTGGAAAAAAAAAATAAAAATCATTCTTCACTGTTATCTGTTTAAAAGAATAAAAACACTGATTTTCACCCCTTTTAGCCTCTTTCACACTTAATTTTTATTTCTGGTTATTGAATTGAATGATTAAAGTGAAAATAATGGATAAGACTAAACAAAGGTGTATAAGAGAAGAAAAACATGTGTGTTTATTTTTCTTGAAAAATAAAAGGAAAAAAAAAATGCAAGATTAGTGTTTTAGAATTCTAATAACAGTTTCCTAAAAAACGCTTTTTAACGGCCAACCATTATTGTCTCTCATCTCAGATGTGGTCGTGTGCTCCGTTTTTTATATTTTCAATTATGCAAATGTTTGAAAGTATTATATTCTTCATTTACCTGATTGTTTTAATGCTTGCATCTGCCTGTGAGAAAATGCACATGACTTAACTCTTGAGAATAATGTATATTTACGATATAAATTTTATATCGATATCGTTCAACTTTTTATTCTTCATTTAAATATCATCTCTATAAAAAAAATCATCAACTTGAAGATCATTTATGCATCCAAGTGTATGGAACAAATCGATTGTGCGAGTATAAGGAATATATTTATGATTGACCATTCATTTATTTGATACATTAGGATACTAAATAATTTCTAATTCGAATGATTATTTTCTAGAGATGATCTTCATCATAGATTAAAAAATTACGAGGCTTCGTTTTATGCTATAAAAATACATTATTCGTAAAGGGGAGATATATATCCATTCCCCATGGAAGATGCAAGAATATTATCCTACTTAATTGGTGTAATCCAGGAAAATGTGGAAATTTAAACAAAAAGAGTTTTGAGTCCCTAATGAACGGATTGTTGGGTGTTATTTGATGTCAAATTTCAGCTTAAATTGAGTACCCACCAGGATAATAAGAGGCCCAAATCACAATCCCGCTCAAGTCTTGTTGGAGTTTGGAAATCAGGCCTATACCATACCTAAACAATGCCATTCTTTTCCGGCCAGGAAACACAGTCCTGATTAAAATGAACGATGGTGCGAGGTGGCTTAAATTCTCAATTTTTATCATACAAAAGGGATGATATGTGACTGTTCTATCACCAGGGACAACAGAGGTAGGTTGTGCCAACTTTTTATACCAAGAAAACTCACGAAAGAACCTAACAACGGAATCAAAGGGGATCAAAAGCAAAAACATAAATTAGAATCCATTTTGGTCTGTCTGTGTGTGTGTGTATCACACTCTTCTCAAGTCAATCGTAAAAAAAATTTCGAGCATTCTCTAGGGAAATATATCAGAGCTGTAACCACGAATCAGTAATTGAAGTGCAACTGTTGGAAAAGATAAACAGCACATAGAAAAGCGATGATAGTAACATTGTTCAACAGCGAGGAATCATTCCTTTGACCTGCACTGCATGGTATGCTGCTTCCACTGTAGCAACCTTTCTTTTGATGGATCCCTTCACCGCGATTTTCCAGTACAAATGTGGAGTTTGTCTTCCCACTGCTGAAGAGAACACACCAAAAAAATGGCCCTTTGTGAGCCCGAACCATGCCTACTCCCACCTCAGTATGTGATTTATTTCTCAGAATTGATAAAGCCTTGCTGTCTCGAACAAGAACATGTTCAAACGCCAGTGAGGGCTCGAGATACTTGGATTGACAACCCACAATGTGGGCAGTTATGGTGTCGAAAGTGGGTAGTTCCACACCACAGTTGGGGGCAAAAACTTCGGTGAAGTCATCTTCAGACGGTTTGCAGTTCACGGTATTGTTGCTAGTGCAGTTTCCCTTGCATAACTCAGCATATTGCAAGGCAATGCACCCGAGTCCTGAACTGTCGTTTAGTTTTGGAAGTTTGTGAGCTGTTCGATTGTTGTTGATAATGTCAACAAGATCATTTGCAGGGTTTCCTGAGGGACAAACCGCACTCAATGTCACAAATCAACATATGTTGCCATACAAAATACAATAAACGATACACTTAACAAATATGTATTTCTATCTTGTGTAATCATGGAATTAAAAATCGATAAAAAAATGTTTACACTCAACAAAAATGTGAAGAATGGAATGGTAATGTTTTAACTCAATCCATATACATTAATCTTGATAGTTTGGGACTTAAATACCGGCAGGGACAAGGTCACCAATGATCCTACTCTTTCCTACTCTCACCAAGTCGTCCTGCAAGTTAATATTTCACTTCAATTTATGAAACATCATGAGGACCATCTCGTGTTCATCAAATGTAGAGACCGGAATTTCATGATTGGTATAACCATTAACTCGGACTTCTCCCTAGTTCGGTTGGGATTCTTGTCAGTGGTCACTCTGCATTTTGTTAATAATCATAACAGGGGGAAGGAAACACCGAGAGTACCTTGACGAACAATGTTAAGATTGTGGCGGATGAAATGCTTTTGACATTTTTGAATGACGGATTACTATTTGAGAAGTGGAAAGTGAATAAATGCTAGGTCACAGAGATAAGAAATGCAATTTAATCCTCTAACTTCTAGAACAATAAACTCTTTACTGATGAGTGACTGCTACGCATTTCTTATTCATCACTGGACCTTCTAATTAACCCATCATCTGTGGACAAAGTGCACAAAACAATCTAATAATTATTAAAATGTGAGCATCCAACTACTTTAAATTCCCGTTTTGGGAATCACACTCTAAACCCGCCCCCTCGCGGGTGCGGTTTACTTAAGTCAAACACGGGGACAACACTCAGAAACAGTGCAAGCAAAAAGTACTGATAGGAAGGAAATATCAGAAACGGAAGCTCCAATTGAGACAGAGAAAAATAGAAGAAACACGAGACAAATACAGTAAATATATTGCAATGTGGTACATCAATACTTGAGTTTGGAGAACAAGTTGTAATTTTGGAGGAAATGTATATGCATAGTTCCTAGCTGAAAAAGTAAAAGCTCAAACAAGTTGGAATTTTAGAGGAAAGATAAAAAAAAATCAGAAAAGTTGAGATTATATTGTACCATGGCTTTTGGAGCAAACAAGAGCTGCTAGTAGCAGATGATTGAAGATTATGAGCCACCCCCAGCAACAAAGCAGCTGCTTCTTCACCATAATCTCACCTGTGAGAAAAAATTGGGGTTTTGCTTTACTCAGAAAGCTGACTAGAAAGAAATAAACTAAGAAAAAGAAGAGAGAGAGAGAGAGAGGAAAGTAGAGGATAATATGAATAGGGTATTGATTACTTTTTCATGAAAAACAGGAGAGATGTGTTTGGTTAGTGGGAAAATGCAGGAATAGAAGTGGGAAAGCAGAGGAATTTTCCAGGAGGAGAGGAAAAGGGAAAAACGTGTGGGGTTGAAGGTGCTTGAACACTGATGAAGCATTGCAGAGTTTACGGACAAAAAGACGACTGGTGGTGGACCCTTGTAGCCGTTGTGTGTTCTGTGCATGGATTTCTTTTGCATAAGAAAATGCAGAGGATTTGAAAAATTGGAGCTGGGTGGGGCCTAATTTTGGGGATTAGTGAAGGGGTGAGAGGGTTTTTGGGCCAAGTGATCACGTCATCCCTCGACCCAATTAGGTGACCACTCGGATCCGGCCCGACTTTATTCTGAGACTGACCTAACTCGGTGACCCTCGGGTTCATCTCGGTCACATATAGACCGACCTGGTGGCTGCCGAGCCCAAAGCGATGATGCCGAACCCGCAATTTGAAGATTCTCGAATCAATTTGGAGATTGTTGACCTGACACTATAACCTCTGAATTTGAATAACAACTTAGATGGACCGGATATTAAGCCAGCGTGGCATCTTAGTCCAATAAGACAATACCATGTGTTAATCTCATTCCACATGATATTATGTTCTTGGACAAACGCCATTGTAACAGTATACCTAATTCATATAAGTCCGCCTCCTAAACTTGACTTGGTGATTGTTGTGTTTGATCGGGTGTCGCTAGACTTGACTTGCTAACTGTCGGACACAACTGATTGACCACAAGAGATGACTTGGTAACAGATGAACCTGACCCGAGAATAGCCAGGCCATACTGTGACCATCAACCCGACTAGGTTTGACGTGACTACCGGGTCCAACCCGAGGACGACTATCGTGTCAAAGGTCATCGGGTCGGGCCACTTTTGCATTACCAAAACAAACTTGACCTATTTCTATTGCCAACAAAGCTTAACTGGCCCAACCCATGAAATCATATTCGGGCTTTAAACAAAACATTATAGGCCCAACGAAGCTCATTTTTGCTAACGCACACAACACAAAATGAAACGTCGAGGAACCGAACCATCTAGAACTCTGCCGGTTCAACTACTCCCTCCTTATCTCACACACCACGAGGCACCAGGGTTTAAGATATCTCCCCCCACATCTTGCATCCCCAACGTTTCTTCACTCTCTCTGCACCTCCACTGAAACCCCTCCATCTTTCTACGAGCTCTGCCATGGCTTCCACTTTCGTCACACTACCAACTCCTTTGCTGTACAAACCCAACACCGCTTCTCTGTCCAACAGCCAGAAGCTACTCCCAGGTGTGTTGAATTTACCTCCCCCTTTTCTTAGTTTCTTGTATCTTTCCTAAATTTCTGTACTTTTTTTAATTTTATTTATAAAATGTTGTTAATTTTGATAATTTGTGATGGGTTTTGCTCAGGTCTGCGAAGAAATTCTTTGAGAGTCAACGCAATTAGCCAGAAATGGGAACCCGCCAAGGTTTGTGGGGTTCTGCGCATTTAGGGATTGCTTTTCTCTTTTATTTTGGTGATGCATTGGTGTTTTGATTTTTGTGGTTTGTGGGTGGCAGGTGGTTCCGCAAGCTGACAGAGTGCTTATTCGTCTTGAGGAACTCCCTCAGGTATGCTGGTTTTTGGTCTTACCAATTGTGTTTGAAAGTATGGAGTGGAAACTCGATGTGATTATCTTTTATTAGTCCGAATGCAAAGCATCTATGCCAATTGAGTACTTGAGCTTTTGGCATTGACAGTTGTGAAGATCCGTAGCATTGTCAAATGGCTTAATGTACTCCTACCAGTCGAATTGCTATGACAGTTTCCGAGCATTTAAATTTTTTCTTTCAAATAAACAGTAATTTTCCTTTGAATATAAATGTGAATCTTTTGTGGCTTTTTTCAATCTTTATGTGGTGAAAATCACCCTAAAAAACCTAAAATTATATGTTTATATTTGTATATCATCTCTACAACATCCTCCTCTTATCATGTCTTGTGATATCATACCATGATGCATTCAATAACAAATTATGTTGTACATTGTAGATGTATTTGCTTGTATATTATCATCTTGTGGAGTATGGTATCCTTGTACATGCAGAAATCCGTCAAAGTTAAGCCATTGTATGAGGTTCTGTGAAATCGGGACAGTGTCATCGGAGAAAACTTGATAGTGGAATGGTACCTGGCCATAGATTTTTTGTAGTTCTTGAGAATCAAGTGGAGAGAGTATTATAGTTTGTGAATGATTTTTCACGGATGGAAGACACATTTATAGTATAGTTCTTTACAGTCTCATAGATTTATTCTTCCTCTTCTTTATTGGCTGGAGCATGGGCAGTTTTCTTCTTTCGAACTCTTACTGAAAGACTGACTTAACCGTCGAAGGTTATTTCCCTCCAAGATTTTCAGTTAAGCAATAATTTTTTTATGGGACGGTATTTCCTGATTAGGTGGTCCTTCTTAATTTAATAGTCCATCTTTGTTGGATTTTAATCAAGATATGGTAGGAAAGTATTCTGGCATTACCATTTGTCTCGGATTGTATTAGGTGGATTAGGTATAATCTTTTATGTTTGACTCCTGGATTTTCAAGTTCCAAGTAGTTTGATAACCGGTCTTGAACTTGACGTAGGATCTTCAGATTGACCTGGAGTAAAGCTTGATCAGAGTTGAAAAACTAGTTTGAAACCTGAATTAGGGGCATTGGATTTAGGGATAGTACTAACTTTGGTATAGAATGGATGGTTGTAGGGTTTAGGTAGACTCCTCCATCTGCTTGAATTTTGAGCTTATGAATAAAAATCTTTCACAGTTTGGGATTGAGTTCAACTACAGGTCTTGAACTTGATCCATGATTTGAGCTTGAACTTTGATGGTGTGAGAAGTCATCCCATCGTATTGGCTTGGCTCAAGTGACGCTTTACTCACACTGGTGGCAATTTGAGTTATATTTCCCCTTATGTGTCTGCGTGGGTCTGTCATTTGAAGGTGGGCACTCATCTTACCGAAGTTTGGCTTGAACACAGGGCACGTGATTCAAATGCTCTGTCATGATCGTTGTGTCATGCTTCCTTATACGGTCAAAGAGATGAAATTACCCTATATACTCTCACAAAATAGTTAGTAATGGTTTTAGTGAGACTTATAGTGTTGCATGCATCTCACACTTTCTTTTTCATTATTGAGCAAATGGCCCAATAGTATACCTATCACCATATTAATTGCTTAGAACAACTTGTTCAAAAGGATTTCACGAGTTATTTCAATTTGTCTAACTGTGGCAGCCTACGTTGCACCCTGTCCTTGTAAACTAGATCCTTCACAAATCGTTTAATCCATGTTTTTTGACTAGACGTATGTTTAGTTTTAATAGCTATAATGGTGGCTTACGACGATATGTATAAACGACTAGATACCAAAGAAGGAGAGTTGGATATCTATAAACTAGCTAGAGCAAGGGAAAAGAAGACAAGGGACCTAAACCAAGTGAGGTGCATCAAGGATGAGGATGGAAAAGTTCTTGCTACAGAGAATGCGGTTAAAGACAGATGGAGAGGTTATTTTCATAATCTTTTCAATGAAGGACATGAAAGGAGTGCTTCTTTAGGGGAGTTGAGTAACTCAGAAGAGTGTAGAAACTACTCTTTTTATCGTCGAATCCGGAAGGAAGAAGTGGTTGTAGCTTTGAAGAAGATGAAGCAAAGAAAAGCAATAGGCCCAGACGAGATACCAATCGAAGTGTGGAAAAGTTTTGGGGAGACAGGTATAACATGGCTCACTGACCTTTTCAATAGGATTTTGAAAACGAAGAAGATGCCAAATGAGTGGCGAACAAGCACTTTAGTGCCTATCTACAAGAATAAGGGCGACGTACAAAATTGCATGAACTATAGGGGTATTAAGCTAATGAGTCATACAATGAAGCTTTGGGAGAGAGTCATTGAGCATAGATTGAGGCAAGAGACACGGGTTTCGGACAACCAATTCGGGTTCATACCAGGGCGCTCAACCATGGAGGCAATCTATCTCTTACGAAGATTGATGGAAAGATATAGAGATGGGAAAAAGGATTTACACATGGTCTTTATAGATTTGGAGAAAGCGTACGATAGGGTCCCAAGAGACATTCTTTGGAGGATTTTAGAGAAGAAAGGAGTACGAGTAGCATATATCCAAGCTATAAAGGATATGTATGAAGGAGCAAAGACTGCCGTAAGAACTCATGAAGGACAAACTGAAAGCTTTCCCATAACTGTAGGATTACATCAAGGCTCATCCTTAAGTCCTTACCTTTTTGCGTTGGTAATGGATGAGTTAACAGGACATATTCAAGATGATATTCCTTGGTGTATGCTTTTCGCAGACGATATTAGTGTTGATAGATGAAACTCAGGAAGGGGTAAATGCCAAAGCTTAACCTTTGGAAAGAAGTGTTGGAATCTAAAGGTCTTCGCCTAAGCCGATCAAAGACAGAATATATGGAGTGCAAGTTCAGTGCAAATGGAGGCCAAAACGAGTTAGGGGTGAGGATCGGTGATCAAGAAATACCAAAGAGCGATCGTTTTCGTTACCTAGGATCTATCTTGCAAAAGAACGGAGAATTAGATGGAGATCTCAACCATAGAATACAAGCTGGATGGATGAAGTGGAAGAGTGCATCCGGCGTGTTGTGTGACCGCCGTATGCCACTGAAGCTCAAGGGAAAATTTTATAGGACGGCAATAAGGCCGGCGATGCTGTATGGCACAGAATGTTGGGCGGTGAAGCATCAACACGTACACAAAATGGGTGTAGCGGAGATGAGGATGCTTCGTTGGATGTGTGGGCACACGAGAAAGGATAAGATTAGGAATGAGGATATCCGGGGTAAAGTAGGAGTAGCCGAAAATTGAAGGAAAGATGAGAGAAAAATCGGTTACGGTGGTTTGGACATGTGCAAAGAAGGCCTACTGACGCTCCGATTAGAAGATGCGACTATGGGACAGAGGTTCAGGGCCGAAGGGGTAGAGGAAGACCTAAGAAAACTTTGGAAGAGACTCTAAGAAAAGACTTAGAGTACTTGGATCTAACGAAGGACATGACACGGGACCGAGCACAATGGCGTTCTAAGATTCATGTAGCCGATCCCACTCAGTGACT